ATGTTTTTTTTTTTCTTTAAAAACAGATGACTTTGTTTCTCATACTGATATCTCTAGCGTTATGATAGGCAAAGAAACAGATGGAGGTCTAGGACTCACAGCTGATTGCATCCAATTTCACTGCCTTTATTATTGGTTTGTAGCAGAGCCAGAAGTAGACCATTACTTTTTACATTACAGTTATTATACTATTCAACAAATATTTATAGTGGGCTTCCTGTTTACCAGGGTATGGAAAAAGAAACAGTCCCTTATGGACTTTATAGTTCCCATTGATCTACTTTTCTTCACCGTAGTACCGATATCTCTCAAATGGAGATAAAGTTGGCTTTATCACCCAGTCAACTTGATCTCTGGGAGGTATTTTGCTGCCTTGTCTTCTCATGTTTCAATTGTTTTGTCTGTTTGTCTTGTTGTATTTTTGTGCTAAGGTTTTTGGATGCTTTTCTTGTAGAGACATTATTGCTATTATAGAGATTTATTTGCTTTTCAATGATGTACTTTGAGTGTGGCCAACTATAACCCCTTGCCACAACCCCAGGATCTGATCTCTTTGGTTAATTTGGAAAGGAAGAAGGCAGTATGCTAGCCCAACATCCAAGTTCTCTGGGAATGTACTGTAGCGTTGTTAATGTCACAAAGGTAATCTGAGTGTTGGCCTACAAACAAATGACAACAATTAAGTAACTCTGGTATTGTCAAGTAAATCAGCTATGGTTGCCAAAACAAACTGAACATTATCACAACCTAAGAACCAATCACGTGCCACCCCTAGTCCTAGAGAAGAAATCTGCAATTATGGAGTAAATGTTAAGACAACCCATCTACTGGTTTACAGCTAATATGCACTAAGGATGACAGTTGTGTCTCCACTAATGGTTGAAAGGAACTCAGCAGTAATTTTACAGAGTTAACTATTACAAAGCTTTATTGGTTATACTTTTAAAGATATAGGGCTTGGGAATGAGGAAATGCAGATGAAAACTTTGAAACCTTAAACTATGATATGAGAAGAAAGAAATTGTACAAAGGGTCTTATTGGATAGTAGAAAGATGTTCATAGAATTAGGTAAAGGTAAAAGAAAAACATGAAAAATAGCAGATGAAATAAAAAGGAGGAGAAATTATATAGAGTAAAAATTAAAAAGGAGAACAAGAGAAAATGAAGGTGAAGAAAGTAAGAAAAATAGAAGCAAGGAAGATCAATAAAAAATTCCCAAAGCCCCAATGAACTGGTAAAAGAAGAGGGGGTAAAAATAAAACTAAACAAAAAATAAATAAGTAAAAACAATGCACACATTCACAAAAAACAAAAACACGTTTCTCTGTAACTTCAAATGTGTGATTTTCTTCTGGGATCTTTCAGGGGAGAGTTTTAGTCAAGATGTGCCCCTGCTCATGCAGTCAGACTTCACCCGCATTCTGGATGGAGCCACAAGCTGGCAGTAGCTTTAGGGTGAGGGTACCGGTTCTGTGACTTTCAATTCCAGAATAATTCAGGCTTAGTCTAGCCTCTGGTCATGGGGATGGGGCCTGTGTCTTTTAGTTTACGCCCCTCAGAGGATGGGTCTCTTGCCAGCCTTACCATGGCTCCCTGACCACAGCTGCCTCCCGTGGTTGCTCCTCACCCAGTCACTGTGGGACCATAACACAGGGCGCCCTAAATTGAAGCTGTCCCAGGGCTGCTCTGAGTCCCAGGTTCAAACAATCAGACTGTAGCTGAATGGCCTCCTACCGGGCACTCTGTCCAGGGGGTATGGTCAGCCCTTGAACGAGAGTCACTCACAAGCTGTTTTTGCTCGAAGTACCCACTGCTCTGTTCTATACTGCTTTTCTTCCTGAAGGCTTCTGGAGTCCAGAGCTTTCACTTTATCTCTGTAGGCTCAGTCTCCCTTTCTTGTGAGTCAGGAACTGGGAAGAAAGTTCAGATTGTCCCTTCCTTTTTCCATATTGTGTTCTCTCTTCAATTTTTCTGTATGCTTTAATTTTCCTGGCAGATCCTTATTCCTGGTTCCTGTAGATCTACTTTCCTTTTTTTTTTCTTTCTATTCCACGAGTTATCTTCAAGTGTCTCGATTCCAGATCTTGGAGAAGCTGAGTTGTTGTTGCTCACCACTCAGCGATTTTCCTGCAATTCCTGCCCTGAAGCTTTGATTTTTATAATCAAATTCTTTTTGGATGGATTTTGTCAATTATTGTGTGCTTAAAGTAGGATCCATTTCTTCTAGGCTTAGTTTATTAATTAGCTTACTAGTTTATTCTTTAATTATGATTTCTCTCCCTTTCTTAGTCATAATTAATTGACTTCTGTCTTTTCTCTTACTTATTGAACTAGCTATTGATTTACCTATTTTATTATGCTCAGATCCTCCACCATCAGTCATGTATTTTAAAAATTAACTTTTTCTCTGCTTTCCAATTTTTTGAATTATACTTACTTTTAGCTATTTAAGAATATAAAATTGTACTACTAATGGTGTTCCACATGATATTTGTACACATCTTACATTGTATAGTGTTTACATCAGGTTAAATGTATCTATCTCCTCAAACATTTGTTATTTGTTTATGATGCAACCTTCCTTGAGTTTTAATTCCATAGTAGGATTCCTGGATCATATGGTAGTTCTTTTTTCTTTTTTAAGAGTAAGAAAAGTTTATTGAGAGAAGCATAGATTTGTCTGAGACAGAAAGGGGACTGGAAAATGGGTTGCCCTGATCATATGGTAATTCTATTTTTAATTTTTGAGAAAACTCTATACTGTTTTCCATAATATCTGCACTGGTTTACGTTCCTGGCAACAGAGTACTGTACAAGAGTCTCCTTTTTCTTCACAACTTCACCAGCATTTTTCAACTCTAGTCCTTTGAATAATGACTTTAGCTATTCTTACTGGGGTGATGTCATTGTGGTTGTGATTTATATTTCCCGGATGGTTAGTGTTCTTTAGTATTTTTTTAAATCATATTTTGTTGGCATTGGCCATTTGTATATCTTCTTTTAAGAAATGTCTTTTCACAAGATTCATTGCCCATTTTCAAATGTGGCTATTTGCTTCTTTGCTTTGCTTTGTTTTTGTTTCTTGCTCTGAGGTTTTAGAGTTCCTTATATGTTCTGGATATCAATTACTTTCTGGCTGTTTAATTTGTAAATATTTTCTCTTATTCTATTGTAAAGTATCTATTCTCCCATTGCTTCCTTTGTTGAATCTTTTTAGTTTTATGTAATCCCATTTGTCTATTTTCTTTTGTTTCTTATGCTTATGAAGTCTTGTAAAACAAAACAAAACAAAACAAAACAAAAAACAAAAGCAAAACAACCTCACTCTTGAAATGTTGTGAAGTGTTTCCCCTATATTTTCTTCCTCTATTTCACAGTTTCAGGTCTTACATTTAAGGCAATCACCCATTTTGAGTTGATTTCTGTAACTGGAGAGATAGGGATATTCCTTCTTCTGCAGGTAGATACCCAATTTTCTCAATATCATTTACTGAAAAGACTGTTCATTCTCCAATGCATATTTTTAGCACCTTTATAAAAAATATCACTTGCTGGTAATGCATAGGTTTATTTCAGACTCTCTCTTTCTATATGGTTGATCTATATGCCTATACTTATGCCAACCCCATGCTGTTTTCCTTAAGCTTTGTAGTATGTTTTGAAGACAGGTAGTGTAATGTCTCCTGATTTGCTCTTTTTGTTCAAGATGTCTTTGGCTATTCAGGGTTTTCTGTGGCTCCATACAAATTTGGGATTGTTTTTGTTAGTTCTGTGAAGAATGTCATTGGTATTTTGATAGAGATTTCATTGAGTCTGGAGATCACTCTTGTTGGTATGGACAGTTTATCAATATCATTTCTTCCAATCCATAAACACTAGATGTTTCTCTATTCTTGGTGTGCTTCTGAAAAATGTAACGTGTGTTCAAATCACCCAAGTGTCTCTGTAAAATATAGAATCTAGTTCAGTAGATCAGGACCTTACATCCCATGTTTCTAACAATTGGGGCCATATGATGCCTGTACCATCGCTGTGGGACTTACAGTTCGAGCAACAAGCTTTTATAACATATGTCTATGTCTCTCTAATACAGTTCTTGGCCTAATCCAATTGCCTTCTATTATTTGTAAATAAATAATTCTCTGTGTTCTTGGCACAGATGTCAGGCATTTAATAAAGAGTTGTTGAATTGAGTAAAGGCTATGAATTTTTCTGAATTTAACTTTTCTGAGTATAAAATTTGTCATATTCCTTGGCTTTGAAATGTAGAGTTTTTTATTAATATCAATATTTTAAAATATATTATTATTTTTATATGCAATGTTTAATTTTCTCTTTAATCAAAGAGAATGGAAAACAGATTTTTTAAAAATCATTTATTTCATGCCCTCTCTTTCTGAATAGTTGATCTATATGCCTACACTTATGTCTATACTAGTTAGGATATTTGTAAATGTATTACTTTTCATTTTATTTCTAGGTTTATTGTACATAGGTCAAAATTATGAATATTTTATTTCTGTGTTTTGATATTTTTGTCTTTCTTCTTGGAAATTCTTTCTTTAAATCTATTCATATATTCAGTCAAATTACAGTCAGGAATTGGCAGGGAAACTGTTGTCTCTTTCATGTAACTTCCATATAATTGTTCAAATTCACTGTATGCCTGCCTCTTTTATACTTGAACTATATGTGGAAAACTTGTTTTCCCATTTTAAAATTACTTGAGAGGGGTATCTTTCAGTTGCCCTGCATAGCATAGTTCCCTCGTACATACAATAAAAGTAGAAATATTGCTTATTATCAAGCATTGCTATTTGTTCTATGAGTTAATACATGTAAAATGCTTAGAATTGTTTCAACCATAGTAAATCTTTAAGTAACAATCTCCAGTTGATTTATTTTTTTCCTAAACTTGCAGTTTTGTTTTAATAGCATTCCACTTTGATAGAGACAGGATGCTTTTCAATTGCTCTAACTTTTTTTGAACCAACAAAAGTAGGGCAAGAGACAAGGAACAAGAGGAAAAGAAAGAAACCTCCCATGAACCAGAAAGGAGAGCAGACAAGAAATTATGGCAAGCCCAGGTAAAGTGTAATGACCTTATGCAGGACCCCTCTCAAAGGAAATAGAAACTAAGTTAATTTTGTTTTAAAGATGTTTTATAAGATTCTCTGAAAGAATATGAAAAATTCAGCAATGTTTGAAGAGTGGACTCCTAGTAATGAGAAACATTAATTTCCTACTTGTCTAAAATGTTTAGAAGAGCTTGTTTTTCTCTACTATGAATTGTATAATCCTTCAGGGTAGGGTTAAATCTTCTATTTCTTGTCCCCTCCCCATGGCTACGTACAGGTATTTGACAAAGAACTATGAAGTGTAGTGTGAGTATTGTGGGGATTAAGAGTACCAATTTTATTAGAGCCCAGCAGACTGGCCAAATTCTAGTTCAGCCATTCAGTAATTAAGTAGACTGCCTTAACGTCTGTATCTACGGTTTCTTATCTGTAAGCAAACAAAAATCTCAGAGTGGTATTCTACGGATTCAGTGAGATATAAAGTACTAACTTTAAAATAAAGCACTTTTTCTCAACCATCTCAAATTGTCAATTCAAATAAGGCGCTCAAATAATTAGCTAATAACTAGCAAGTGAATGGAGCCTTAACACACACACACACACACACACACACACACACACACATATACACGCATGCTTCACTTTCTGTTATCATCCCACATGTAACCACAAATAATTCACCAGGTAAAGTGCTGCACATCTGTAATATCAGCACTCTAGGAAGCTGAAGAAGGAGGGTCTCAAGTTTGAGCCCAGCTTGGGCAACTCTGAGACTTAACCAGACCTTCTCTCAATAATAGTAGTAGTAATAATAATAATAATAAATTAAATTTTAAAAGACTAGGGTTGTAGCTTAGCCCAAAACCTCTGGGGTAATCCCTAGTACCGCCCCCCAAATTCCTTTTATATATAAATAACGAATTAATGGTTTTTAAAGGGCCAACACCTAGCATGTGGTGTTTGGTGATTTTTTTCAGTGAGACAATTTTAAAAGTTCAAGCAGCATTATTCATTCTCACTGCAAGTCTATAAAAAATGGAGTAACATTCCATTTCTTCCTTCATATCTTACTATAGCTGCAAACAATCTGCAGTTTTGGATTCACATCTTCCAAGAATCCTATCAGAGAGGTGATTTCACAGTCACTGGAAAGAAATGTTTCTCATCTTCAGCAGAGGAAAATCCGGGCACTGTTCGTTTGCCAAATCGACCTGCCATGTCGCCTTTTCTCCCCTTTCAAGATTGTGCTTTGAACTTTTTTACTGAGGACAGGAAAAGCATTTCGCTAAAGATCAAACTTAGACTGTAACTGTGTTGACTGCTCTCAAGAGTAAGCAAGGCCAAGCAGGGGTCGGAAGGCCGTCATCCTCTGTGCGGCCGCCTTAGGTGCTGGACTTTCAGTTCTAGAGGAGCAGCTTTCTGACACCAGGATCTTTTCAGGATGGAGGGGAATTTCGACCAGCCTATCCCACACCATCATTTTTCACTCCTCCCGTGCTTGTTATTTCTCCTATTTCGCTTCTTGCCTTGCAACGTTCTTTCATAATTAATTGACTAGCGAACAGTCTCTGATCCAAGCCCACTGACAACCCCAGACCGCGAGGGAACTCGAGCGCGGTTCCCGCCAGCCCAGGCCCACGCGGAATCATTCCATCTCTTCAAGGCCAATCAGAGCTTTGTACACGGTCGCGCCAGCCAATCCAAACAAACCGACGACTCTGCCCAAATAGTGCTCCGGGGTCCCGGACTCCCGGCTTGGGGGCAGAGACTACGGCGTACTGCCTTCCAATTGGCTGCCATCTGCAGTGACTTGACGCTCATTGGCTGCTGCCGGGCCGACGGGGAAACTGAGCAGACCGTAACTGTGTGCTAGCGAAATTGTGGAGCCTGCTATTTCCCGGAGCTGCCCTGACATCCTCAGGTAGGGGTGGGGAGGTCCCCGAGCTGTGGCGGTAGTGGGGCGGCCCGAAAGAAGGGATGGGAGGCGACCGGGGCACCTGCCCGGTGCGTCCTCGGTGTCCTTCCGGCGGCGGGGAGAGGGCAACTGCGGGGTCGGGACGGAGGACCGGTCCGGCGGGACGGCCTCATCTCTCCGCCTCTTAAGTTGGGGAGGGGCGGTGATAATGTATCGAAGTCCTGGTCCGTGCTGGGCACAGCGCCTCCTGGCCCTTAGTAGAGATGCTCTTGCGGCACAGAGGCCCTGGCTTTCCTTACCCGGCTTCTGCAGAGAGGTTGTTGCTGACCAGAAACAGCCTTCGCCCAGGGCTCCCTCTCTTCCAAGTTCACCGCTCTGAGAAAGAACTCGTGTGATCCCTAGTAAATCACTTCGTCTTTTTGCACTAGAGAATGATTACCGGAGATAATTGGATATTTGGGCTCAGTAGCTGCCAGACAAAATGTAAAGAATTTATTGTGCGGTCGTTTTTTTTTTAATGGAAAATCTTTTCCAGTCTGTGATCAGTTTTCAGCATTTTTATCAACATAGACCTTTAGACTATAAAGCTGTGATTAGCGTCCAGTATTTTTTCAAGTTAGACCTTTAGACTCTGAAGTCAGAAGACGAGGGTTGGAGTTTGGGCTCCATCATTTATTTAGCTGGATTATCTTGGACAAGTGACTTTTCCTCCCTCTTGTCATTTTTCCTTACAGTAGGGATAATGGCAGGATGGAAAGCTATTTATGAGAGTGATATGTAAAGCCATCAGAATGATCAACTGCATGGTAGATAATAAATATTAGAAATTACTATTTTTAATACAGACTTAGAGCATTAGCACCTTGAACACTAATTTGGACTCCAAATTAAAGCGGTCATGTCGTTAAAATTTAAATACGGTGTGTGGTAGTAAGACTCAGTATTATAAAACTATGAAGTCATCATGAGCGCTCAAAACAGGTTCGTGAAAACTGTGATTCCACGATGCATTCCTTTAAGTTGTGAGCCCCTGAAAGGGCCAGTCTCGAAAGTGAGAAACTACTGACTTTGAATTTGAAAAGCTGGCTTCCCAGTCAACATTTATTGAAAAACAAGCATATACCAAAATTTCTATGTAATAAAATATAATTTAATTTACAGGGCTTTGGTTTGCATGTTGGACAAGATCTGTGGCATGTTAAATTGAACTATTCACACATGTGAGAACTATTAATCGAATAATGGAATGTTAAGCAGTTATGATACATGAATTCTTCAAGTATTCTAGCTTAGTCATATTACATAAGTGCAGATTCTTGTGATACTCACTTTTTATTAGAGGTGAATTTTTTAAATGTTCTGTATTTAAAAGAGAACTTATTGCTGTTTCACTTGTGGCATATGTTTGAGAATATTTGGAGGGATTGGTCAAAATGATGGTATGGATGGATGGCATCAGGAAGATGGATGATTTTTCCTTGAGAAGATTGCCCAGGCTATGATGGTACCCTCGTATCTCCGATAATGTTCATTCAGAAATGTGGACATAGAAAACATACAAGTTAATTTCAGAAAAAATGTGAAGGTGGACATTATTCAGCACTTTGCCACAGGACTGATAGAAAACATAGTCTTTAATACGGAGTTGTTAGATTTTGATAAAATTAGGTAGTGCCTGTTCACAATGTTCGAGTTGAATATTTTGAGGAAAGAAGTAAACGATTGAGTTAGTGGGAATTCAGAATGGTATTTAAAATATTTCCCACAGTTGGAGAATGAGGAAGGGCTTTTCTTTCAATTCACCTAAGTCAATTGAATGCTATTGTATTTGGAGAAAGCCAAAACCACTGTCCCCTTCTTCTTGGTTCCAAAATGTATTTCAGGAGATGCTCAGTTGTGGACTCTTCACACAGCAGTTCAGGTAGTGACCATTATTCCATTTTGGATTTACTCTTGATTAAAATAAATTATGCAATAATTAACTGGCTGGTTAAATATTTTGATGGATTAAAAAGAGCTTCCTGGGCCCGGGATTTAGCTCAGCGGTTCGGTGGCCTGCCTTGCAAGCGCAAGGACCCAAGTTCAATCCCCGGTACCAAAAAAAAAAAAGGAGCTTCCTGATTTTATACTTATTTCATCATCTACCTCCTACATTACCATCCTCAAACAGTCATGTATTAGTTTGTTTCTCATCACTGTGACTTAATACTCAACAAAAACAGCTCCACAGAGCAAAGTTTTATTTTCTATCATAGTTTCAGTTCATGGTGCCCTGGCTCCATTGTTTTTAGGCCCGTGGCAAGACAGAAGCTTAGTCAAAGGACATGGCAGAGCAAGGCTGCTCACGTCAAGGTGGCCAGGAAGCAGAGAGAGGGAAAGAGCCACAGAGGAAGGGCTAAGGACAAGATATTGTCTCCAAGGTCATGCCTGCCTACTATACACTTCCTTCAACTAGACTTCGAAGAGCTCATAAACCATATTTTAAAGCTTGAACTTTAAACTAAGCAGTAGATATGAATGATTACTGTTACACTTTAAAGTTTCAGATTTTCATCTTTCTTGGTAGCTGTTATTGTTTTGTGCTAGATTCACTTATGATAATTCAGTGGGAAAGAAGGGACGGAAATTCAACAGCCCAAGCAAGTTTATTGCTACACTGAGAGGGACTGCTCTGTGTAAGCAGAACAGAGAAGGTGTCTCTTACCGGCTAAGAGGCTTTTTTATGGTGGGTTTTTCAAAGTCTGGGTTGGAGAAATAGTGGGCTTGTGGCTTGCTGATGTACTCTCTGTAACCTGTGGCATGTCCTTGGGGGACTGCTCCTTACCTGCTGCCATATCCTCTTTAACCTACGCTTTTCTAAGATGGTGGGTTGGCTCAGAACTGTCAATGTCCAAGTTGGAGCTCTGTCAATTCTTTAAAGTGTTATAGGAATAAGATTTGTTCTTTCCTTGGCTACTTCCTGCTGAGAGGGGGCAACTAAGGGATTTTTTTTTAATGTTTTGGAGAAAGAAATCCACTTGGAGGTGTTCTCAAGTAGTTGTCTAGGAGATGGCCACTATTTGTTCCTGAAAAAAATCTTGGGGATAGATTAATTTTATAGGGAAGAAAAAGAAGGAAAAGAATAATGAGGATTAAGGGAACCAGGAGGCGTAGGAGCCGGTGAAGAGGAAAGGGAACGAGATCATTGGAAGAGCTTTCAAGGAGTTTGGAAGCCCATTCATGAAGGTGTTTTACCCCACCTCTGATGAGGCCAGATTTGTTTATGTAAAAAAGCAGCATCATTCTTGGAGTAGAGCACATATGCTGCCTTGTGAAGCTGCCAGGAGATCAAGGCCTTTGCAGTTTTGGAGGACAGCTAATGCTGGGGAGTCTGCTTGATCTTGCAGGTGTTTTAGTTGGTCAGAGACTTCTTTGAGTATCTGGGTAAGTTCTTTTGACAGCCTAGTGAACTCTGAGAGAGATTCATAGAGCCCCGATCCCCATTCCAGTTCTTGCGATTATTCCCAGGGTTGCCATTAAGGGGCTAACTGATCCTATTATTAATTACCACTTAATAGTAAATTGTTACAGCAGGGAATACTGAGGCAACTTGAGATGAAATAGGATTGAAGTAGGTTTCAGGACTGGAGACTTTAGAACTCATCAGACAGATGGGAATTAAAGGTAAAATATTTGAGTATTAGCAGCATATAGATAAGAGATACATGCTCTCCCCTGCCCACCAATCTCCATTTATTTATTTATTTATTTATCTATCTATTTATTTATTTTTCAGTACCAGGGATCAAACTCAGGACCTTGCACTTGTGAAGCAAACGAGTGTCACTGAGCTAAATCCCTGGTCCCTTTTATTATTTTGTATGAATGTTTTTAATAACTGTCATAAAACTTAATTATTCCCAATCAGCAGTTAATCACCTTGAGAGCTTTTAGAAAAAATTGTGTAACTGACATTGTGAAAGAAGAAGAAAAGGGTTAAAGGTGTAGGGGAAGTGGGAAGGGTAGGGGAAAGGAAATAAGGGAAAAGAAAAAATAGGAGAAAAGGAAAAAATGGAAACCAAGTCTTTGTAAATAGAGGAGGGAGGACGGAGTGAAGGAAGGGCAAGGGTATGGGGAAAAAATGAGAAACAAGACCTGTCATGTAAAGGTGCAAGATCCCAATAATGAATGTAACTGGACTGTATACCTAAAGTGTACCAATAAACTCAATGAAAAAAAAAAAAAGAAAGAAAAGAAACATTTGTGCTATGATCCTACTCTCAGAGAGCCTGACTAATTCATTTAGGGTAGGGTCTGATGATAGGTATCTGTTATAGTTCCCCCAGCAGAATACATTGTGAAGACAGATTTGGACCTAGCAGCTTATAGTATCAAATTGCAATATTTGCTTGTGTTAATCTTGGTCTCTGCAACAGAAAGAAGAAATGGAAGTTCTGCCTGATGTTGTGTCTTTTTCAACTAAACTTAAAAACACTCTAATCCTGTACCATAACATTGAAGATGACAAATGGCGAGTTGCAAAGAAAACGGTAAATTTGTTCAATTACTTATTGCTTATATTTGAAGGAATATCAAATCACTCAGTTGTTGATAATGTTTTCCTCCTCATGGTCCTTTTTTTGTGGTAATGGGGGTGGAACTCAGAGCCTTTACACTGAGCTATATAACCCCAGCCTTTTCTTTTTTGAATATTTTTAAAACAGGGTATTGCTAAATTGCTAAGTTATCCAGGATGAGCTCAAATTTGTAATCCTCCTGCCTCAGCCTTCCAGAGTGCTGGGATTAAAGGTGTGTGCCACTGTGCCCTGCTAGCTTTCAAAATGATGTGAAAAAATACAGACAAGAAGCCATGGATGCATATGGTAGATAGTTGTGCAGATAGGGTTGCTGGGTTACTTTACAAATGAAGAAGCATTTCAATAGTAATCCTGCACTGCTTTCATTAGTTCTTTAGGAATTAGACTTGAATGAATAGATTCATGGGAACTAGAACCTAAATAACAGCTTTTTGGATTAATATATAAAATATATCATTATCACTTGAATGAACTATAGTAATTGATAATTAGGCACAGTTTCGATGTATCATGTAACATGAAGTGGTGAGGGTGCCAGTTGGTGTTCGTCTTTACCATCATGACTCACCCAAGCTGTTGCATAGCCAAGTGCTATCTTGGCCTAATCTAGAAGCCAAGATTCTTCCAGTCTTCGCTGTTGGGGAGCTCTAGTGCTCTAGTTATCCTGGTATTCAAAACTACTTGGAAAATGATTTGGAAAAAAAAATTTTAGAGACTAATTCAAGGTGTCAGTGAATGTGAGTGATTTAATTTTTAAAAAGGTGTGAACAGTTTAAGAATAAGATGTTTAATGTTCTAGTGGCATAGTTTGAATGTAAATAGATAAGATTGGAATGAAGCTGATCATAATGGCCACTAAGATAGTGCCATTGCTGAATCATAATGTTTGGGTCTCAACAAGCTACTGAGCCTCTTTTCTGAAGGTCTGTAATTTAAAAGTACAGTGTAATATAAAAGAAATTCAAATGTGGATCACTTTATAGCATGGATAACTTTAAAGTTTTATTTTAATGCAGAGATGAGTATTCTAGAAATTGTTGGTTTTGTATCCAAGGTTCCATGTATGAGATTATTATCATATAATGTTTTTTGTCTTTCTAGAAAGATGTAACAGTTTGGAGAAAACCCTCAGAAGAATTTAATGGATATCTGTAAGTAAATTAGAAGTTTTGTAGTTTTTAAGACATCGCTGAACCTCATGTATATACGATACTAGTAAAATTTGGCTTTTACTTAAGACCAAATATTCAATTCTAAATAGTAGTATTGTGGATGATTTTTATTTCCCTGTTTTTTATCTTTGATTATAGTTTAATATGAATTAAATCTGTAGCACAGAAATAATATATAGTATATATAATATTTGTATACATCAAAGCCAACAGAGACAGTTGCCCTGTGTAATTGGAGTACAATGTAGACATCCCTAAGACTCAGCCCTTTTTAAAAATGAAACTCCTGGCCTCACTTAGTAATACAAAATGTTCTGACTTGTAACACCAAAAATAACATTTTCAAAAAGATGGGTTGTACAATGTGTATGAGAAGAATAGGAAAACTAGAGTTGGATTAGGCATTGTAAACCATTGGAAATTAATCTTTTAGATCAGTAATTCTCAGTGGGGCGGAAAGTATAAAGTGCCAAGGGAGCACTATACTTGAAGATTTGAAGAGATTTACTGGAAAAGCAAATATCTGAATTGAGACTTGAAAGTGGAATGTTTGTTTTTAAGGAATGTAGGGCTGACCCCTGCTCCAGGTGAAAGGAATTGAATTGTCTGCTTAAACACAGATTACAAACACTTGCAGAATTGTGTTTATACTGCTGGAGTATAAAGCATGTGGGTGGAGAAAGTATGTGTACGGTATTGAATTCCAACTTGAGGAATTTAGTGTTGCTTGCCTTCTGCCTAACTCCACCGTCAATCCCCAGGTCCTTGAAAGGTTTTGAATCTACTCTAAATCATGTGAAGATAGAAATGAGTGTGAAGAGTCTAAGAAAGGCCTTTTTCTTTCGGTCTATGGCTAGCTCCTTGGATTTCTTCTCAGGTAGCATACAAAATTTTATAACAATATGTATTTTCCTAGGAAGAGATCAATGACTTTTAAAAACTTCTTGAAAGAGCCTGTAATGAAAAGCGGTAGAAACAAATAAAGTATCAGGCTGGACACAGAGTACCCAAACTAAGGCGGTAGCATGGAATTGAAAAGGGCAAGTGAATGTGAAAGAAATCTAACACTGGTGGTGGTCTTCGTAGTGGTGGTGATATAATGGTAACTAGTGCATATTGAGAGCCAGATAATGTTCTAAGCATTTTATATTTGTGAAATCATCTTGATTAAAACATGGTGATTGATTAATTCTGATTATGGCAGTGGGTTTAAGAGAAAAAAGAACGGAAGTTGAATTCTGATTTCTAATCTGTGTGACTGGATTACTTTGAGTTATTCTCCTACCCCACCTCAATTTAGAGAACATAGAAATGACGATCAGATTTAGGATGGGATAGGGAAGTTTGGCTTGAGATGTTTATAAGGTGATTACACAACTTCAGATGCTTTTCAGAAAAAGTTACTGATAGAGTGGAAACCAAATTCTTATATTCCGTGTCCCTTCTTTCTTCTCCCGAGGTAACTGCCATCATAAAGCTGTGGGAATTGTATGTCGATAAACAGTAAATGCATTACTTGATATGCTTTTTTAAAAATGTGTGTGTCTAATTTAGTAATTTGCCTTTTATTTTTTCCATTCAACATTATTTTCTTAAGATTAGCCACGTTATCACATATAGACCTCTTCTGTATGAATCTGCCACAATGTGTTTATGTTTATACATTGCTTATTGATAGTTTTTTAGATTTTGGCATATTCCTATAGAATGTGTTTCTATTCATCTTTAAATTCATGTTCCCTGTGCACACATGTGGTTTTCTTTTGGTCTTTGGGATGAATGTCATCCAGCTTCACTAACATTGCCGGATTGCTCTCTACAGTAGCAAGTGTGTAGGAGTTCTCATCCTCCTCCATTCAATACTTGTTATCAGGTTTTAAATCTTTGCCATCTGGGGAATATGAATGAGATGGTGTCTTATTAGGATGTACTTGATTACTAGTGAAGTTGTGCATCTTTTGTATTATTTATTCACATTTGAGGTCACTCTTAAAATGTCTTTAGCCCAGCTTTTCTTTGGATTGTCTTTTTTTCATTGGTTTATAGGAATCATTCCTGTGTCCTCTATGTCTGTTTTTGTGTGTTCACATATCTTTCCCTAGCCTATGTCTAGTTTCAAAAATTGCTTATTTTTTCATATATAATATGCATATTTTAAATTGTAGCTAATCTTTTGTATTTGTACTTTTTGTGTTCAAGAAATCCTCATGTTCTGATGTTATGATGATACACTCTTGTGTATATTTTTCTCAGAGTTTTAAAGTTTTACATTGTGCACAGATGTATTTAACCTGTCTGGTATTGTTTAGAATCATGTCAGGTGAAGGTTCAGGTTTTATTTTTTTCCATGATGATAACCATTGAATCTGGGCACCATTTATGGAATAGTACATTTATGTGATGGCACCTTTGAAATATACCAAGTTCCAACATACTCGGGAGCCATTTCCTCAGTGTTCTGTTCTATTCTCCTATGTTTTCTTTTTCTTTTTCTTTTTTTATACCAGGGAATGAACTCGGGTCCTTGCGCTTTCGAGGCAGGTGGCGGAACCACTGAGCCAAATCCCTGGCCTCTCCTATTTTTTCTATACCTAAAAAAAGGGACAAGGGGAAAAAATGAGAACCAAGACCTGTCACGTAGAGGTACAAGATCCCAATAACTGTACTGTATACCTAAAATGTACCAATAAATTCAATTAAAAAAAAGTTTTTAAAAGTCACGTAAAGTATATATATATATTTTTTTTCGAAGATAATTGAGAAAAGAAAAAATATGCAGAATAAATGGATATAGTATAGTATTCTATAGACTGCTTTTGCCTCTACAAGGGTGATCAAAAAATGTGAAAGTTTAAAAAAAGTAATAAAAGATACATCGCCATTAAGCCCCCTCAAAATATTCCTTCCTCTCTTTGAGCACATTTATTCCATTGTTCTTTCTGAGCATTTCTGGAATCTTTTGTGAGTAGTTTTACAAGGTATGATTAAAGAAGTACAGTGAATGCTGCTACCAAATGCCATCCAGTGGAAGGCAGATCTGTAGAAATACGGTGATGTGTGCTCAGGTAGCTTATTCACTGGATCTGGCACGGTGTGACTTCTGGCTTTTCCCTAAAGTGAAAATGACCATAAGAGGAAACTATTTTCAATCAGTTCAGGAAATGGAGGCATCTTAGACAACACAGAGGATAACTTCCAGAACTGCTTCACAAAGTGGCAAGGATGTTGAGATAATTGTGTGTGAGGGAGGAGAAGGTGTTTTGAGGGGGCCTAAAGGCAATGAGTTTTTCACTGTAGTACATTTTTAAAAATTTTTAATCATTCACTCTATTTTTTTATCATGCCTTATAACAGGAAGGGGCTTTGCTGTGTCCATGGTGATACATAGGATAGCCTTCATTTCTCTAGGTTTGAGAAGAAAGCATTTTCGTTGATTTTTACTCTGATTTTCCTAGTTGGCTGTGAACTATGAGGGCATGCTGAAACTTTTCATTCTAATAGCGTTTTTTATTTGTCCTCAGCTACAAAGCCCAAGGTGTTGTAGATGATGTTGTCAATGCAATAATAGACCATATACGCCCAGGGCCTTTCCGTTTGGATTGGGACCGCCTAATGACTTCATTGGATATTTTGAAGCACTTTGAAGAGGTATCTGTTTAGAATCATTAATTAAAATATCTGTGTGTGTGTGTGTGTGTGTGTGTGCGCGAGAGCACAATGCGTGTATACGAACATGAGCACTTACATACACTTGTATTCATTGCTTTGAGAATAGTAGTAATAGCGATGATACCATCATAGGGGAGCCATGTGCTGTCTCTTAAAAAGTTAAAAATTCCTCATATTAATTAGTGAGTATTGGGACTGATTTTTGTTTTCCATAACAGCTCTACCCTAGCTACATGAGAAAATTTTCAGCATTTTTAACTGTAAAACTTTAGTTAAGGATCTAGAAATCTAAAATACTAAAAATATCACTGTCAAAGTTCTTGTGGATTTTTATCTTCAGCACTATAGTCTACACTCCTTAATTTGGTGGAATCTATATGTAGGATTATATTCTATGTTAATGGAATTCAATATTAATTTCTAAGTAATTAAAGATTGGGATACTTTTAAGTATCAGTTTTTGCTAGAGATTAATTCATGATATATGAGGGTAGGTGTGTATGTCCTGTAGGAGTAACACCTATCTTACTTTATCTTTTTCAGAATTGCTGTGTGATGCGTTACACTACTGCTGGTCAGCTTTGGGATATAATTTCCCCAAGAGAGTTTGTTGATTTCTCCTACACTGTGGGTTATAAAGAAGGACTTTTATCCTGTGGTAATAATCTCATATCCTTGGAATTTTTCTTGGTTTTGGTTTAGATACTTTGAATTTTCTAGCCTGGTACTTTTTTTCTATGTGAGATGTTATTGACCTGCATAGTTATTACCAAGATTTTCTTTTTCAAATGCTGAACCCTAGGGAGTGAAATAACAATGTAAGAAGAGATTTGAAATCTTTTTTATGAGGTTTTTGTTTCTAGTTTTTCTCGTTACATATTCTAGGTGACAAGTAGCAGAAATGAATCACATTATTGCTTCTGAGAAAGGGCTCCAGTAAGTGGATCCACCTTCTAAGCTTTTGTTAGTGAAGAGACTGCTGGTGTAGGTACACAGATAGGTCTACAGATACGCACATACATACATACTCACACACACACACACATATGAGAGAGAATTAGACATATATATTTGAATATTTTTTCCTTTTTTGAGCTGTGTTGTATCATTCAGGATAAAAATTAATAACCATTGGAAAGCTCCTGTTTTCTAAAATATAGAGATAAATTAATTTTTTATATATATAGTACATATCTGACTTTACAGTTGTGGGTAAACATCTACTTTTGTAAACACAAAAAGAAATGAGCCAGTACCAAAATTGGGTTTGGCAGTTCCTACAGGAGATAGCTGTGGTACCATAGATTTGATTATTGGCCCTTTGAGTCCTGGCTGCTATCACCAAGGTTTGTAATTTCCAAAGGGGGCATCAAGATGACATGATATAATCTATTCTGAAGAAATTAGAACTTTCCCTCTTACCTATCTACCAAACTCTTGTTGGCAATTATCTCTTTTATTCTGCTGTGGTTAGTCATGGGGCTTAATTTTCATCTATATGGATATGAATAAAATATTTAAACAAGAAATGTAATATTTTTAAATGAAAGTTGAAGGCAGTCATAACTATTAATAGTATTTTAAATTTGCCTTGTAGGAATAAGTCTCGACTGGAATGAAAAGAGGCCAGAGTTTGTTCGTGGATTTAATCATCCCTGTGGCTGGTTTTGTGTTCCACTTAAAGACACTCCAAACCAGAGCCTGTTGACAGGCTATATTCAGACAGATCTGCGTGGAATGATTCCTCAGTCTGCAGTAGATACGGCCATGGCAAGCACTTTAACCAACTTCTATGGAGATTTACGGAAAGCCTTACAAAAAGAATAATGTGTTCAGGCTTGTACTGGGATCCTAAAATCAGCTCTTTCCTTTAGCTTGTGGCCTGTAAAAATCACCAATTTCTATCTGTGTATATCTGATAGAAACATTTGGGATGTTTTTGATTTAGTAATATAATATTTTATGTTGTTCCTCAAGTGCATAGCTATATAAGAGCATACGTAACTCTTTAAAGTGCGTAGCTATTTAAGAGAACATTTCCGTTTTCTCAAGCTTTTGTTTGCACAATGTTTGGTAAGGCAAAGTGTTACAGAGATGGAGAATATGATCAAAATTCGTAAATAAGTAGTAGATTCAACAAATTGAATAGTGTCTCCTGAGTATTTTGGCTGTTTGGAAATTAGAGAAAACGCAAACTTCATTCACTTTATGCATGCTCTTTTAGAGCTTCCTTGACAAAATTATAAAATTATAACATTTTAAAAATTTGAAGGTACACGTTAGTGCTTTTAGTTTGTTCTATGAGTTCGTCAGTATGTTGTGCAAAAGGAAAGGGCCCTTCTCTATATTTTGTAAAGGTCAAATTCACTGTCAATTGACTTGCACTACTTTAGGTATTAAAATTATAAAAAATGAGAATGGATATTATAGTAACTACAGGTACAATTCAGATGCAATTTAGTTTTGATATCTAGATACCTTCTTTTGTCATATCTTTAAAAATACATTTGTTGTTTATCGCACTGATTTTGGGAAGTCTGAAAGCATTTATGCATGAATATGATAGTACAAACCTTTGCCAAGTATGTAGTGGGGACACCACACTGATGGAGCAGTAATCTGAGCTCGATGCAACGTCCAGCAGTATCCTGTGGTCAGCAATGGAGACTCGCTGTCTACAGAGTCAAATTTAGTGGATATTCTGCATATGTTTCAGTTTTGAAAATCTTTCAACTCACAAAACATCACAACTTCTATCATAACCATTCATGTTTGTGGCATAACTAGTCTGGAACTATAAAAATGCATTTTTAGATTTAGTGAAATGCTGGATAAGTCCCTTGATTCTATGGCCACCGTAAATGAACATTGCTTAGTACTTTTAACCTTCCAAATCGTGACTTGTCTCTTGAGTTACCCATTTAGTTTGCTTCTGAAATGGGAATTTGAGGCAACTCAGCGTGTCCTGGGAAAGCATATATGTTGTATACGTACACACATTTTGAGATCTGTCTCAGTTCTCAGAATGTCAGTTCTTTATGTGTTACTGTTTCAGTCATTTCATTTTTCCTTTTTCTTTTTTCTTTCTTGTTCTTCTCCTCGTTGTTCACGTTCTTCTTGTTCTCCCCCTCCTCCCTCCTCTTCGCTCCGCTCCTCCTCTTCTTCCTCCTCTTCCTTCTTTTCTACTTCTGGAATTACACTCAGGCAGGACATAAAACAGCACAAAAATCCTGAGCTCAAACTCATGAAGTTTGATCTGTGTTATTACTTGTTTTCCTGAATGTAAAGAAAGAATTAGGTTTTGAGGCTCATTTTGATGAAGTGAGGAAAAAAATGGAGCTGTTTTTTTTATTATTGTTTTGCTACTGGAAATAATATTCAAATAACAAAAATTGGCAGCATTAGGCTGAAAAACATTTTAAGATCTGACAGAAGCGAGTATAAAAGATTCAATATTATTAATTTAAGTTTATTAATCAACTGATACTCATTTCTAAATTGACTATAACTTTTGAATTACTGGATTTCTCTGTTACATTTTTTCTTCTGCAATAAAGAAAACTCAATTTAAAGTGACCAGTGGACCTGCTAAATGTTAGTCTTAACTTCATCTATATCCTTCATTTATTAGTGTAGAGTAGGAGGTTTTTTGTGTTCTATTATTCTTTTTAGTATGGTGAAATGTCAGTCGTGTCCAACTTGATGACAGTGATTATAGTCGGTCTTCTTTGGTTTTGTTTTGTTTTTATGTTTGTTTGTTTTTTTTTTGTTTTTGGTACTGGGGATCAAACTCTGAACCTTGCATTTGCAAGGCACATGGAAGCACCACTGAGCTAAATCCCAGGCCCTGGTTTTGTTTTTAAGAATAGAAGTATACGGCCGAGGATTTTGCTTAGTCGTTCTGCAGCCTGCCTTGCAAGCACAAGGTCTGGAGTTTGATCCCTGCTACCACCACCCCAAAAAAAAGTGTACACAATTTTAAACTCTGGAACCTTGTAATAATGTATTAAATATGTTATGTCAGAGTCAGATATCATAGTATAAACATTTAACAATACAATATGGGATTGATATTAACATAATTTAATCTATTGTTTCTGTAGCAATGCTGTAGGACAGACAGCTAATATAAACCATATATGTAATTTAAAATATTCAATCAGCCACTTTATAAAATATAAACAACTGAAATTAATTTTACAATTCTATTTAACTCATATCCAAAATAGTATCATTTCAACATGTAATCAATGTAAAAATTTATTCATATAGCTTATGTTCTTTTATAGTAATTCTTTGAAATCTAATTAATATATGTTTTGCTAATTTGGGCAAACTATATTTTAAGTGCTTATTAGCAACACGAGGCCAGTCTGCTATAATGAATAGCATGGTTTCATAGTAAATGCATTAATTTGTCTTGCTATAAAATGAAGTAGACAAGTTCATAGAATTACTCTCTTAAATAGAAAATTTTTCTAGTCTCTAGAGCCTTCAGTGTTAAGTAGGACCTCCAATAAAATAAAAATTATTTTTCCAAAATATTTTCTTTTAAAGATAAATAATTTAGTAGAGCACTTGAAGTAAAATAATAGAATTTATTATTATATAGTTGTTATTTTGTGTAGTTTATAGTGAGAATTTTCTAAAAAACTTGTATATATAGGAAATATATAGTACTGTTTTCAACAGATAGTAGTTATATTTTTAAGGAGATAGGTTTTATACAGTAATTTTATGTGATATTTGCATGAAACATTCATGTATGTTGAGAGGTCATGATTAAACAGAAGTGATTATGAGAATTTATTGTTCTGTAGGTATTGATAATATAAACTGCTAGAGTATTAGAGATAAATGTTAGACTGTCTCTTTCACTGTTCCTTGAGATTGGCTATGTTTGAAATTGTACATTTCCATGGGTAAAATTATGGACCAATAATAGAATCCCCCTCCCCCAGCAATCCCTGGCCCTCTTCCTTTCTTTTCTAATTGAAGGACTTTTTTTTTAATTGACACTCAGATTAAATTAAATGAACACTTCAAGCTAAAAGCTCTGTAATTGAGATTGCCTCTGGAGAAGATAGAAGAGCATTGTACAATGTAGCGTCCATACATACAGTCAGGTGTTAAATCCAATTTCTTTTAATTAAAGTCGATACTGTAGCTTTTTCAACCAATAGATAAATTGACAAAACCAAGAGAAGATAATGGAAATCTGGACTTGCCCAGCTTCCCATCAAAACTTGTATATTTATGCCGGGTGTGGTGGTGCACGCCTGTAATCCCAGAACTCGGGTGGCTGAGGCAGGAGGATCTCTGTGAGTTCGAGCCTAGCCCGGAGTTCCAGGTCAGTCTCAACTATATAGTGAGACCCTGTTTCAAAAAAACCAAACAAACAAACAAGCAAAACTTGTATATTTACTTGTCCAGTGTATCTGCCATCTCTGTCTTCCAGTCCCCTCCCCTTTTGCTTTGTGGTACTGTGAATCAAACATGGGGCCTCATGTGTGCTAGGCAAGCACTCAACACTAAGACCTGAGCTACACTCCACCCTCTAGTTGATGTCATTGAACATCTGGAAGTAAGGAATGGTGGGACCTAAACAGAGAAGGAACCTTAGATTCATTTCAGAGATGGAAATTATAATTTCTTTTCAGTGTGTTTTTTCCAAAGATGTTACATATATACAGCTAAGTATTCAGTTCATCTCTTGCAATTCAGGAAAAGCTATAATGTGTGTGTGTGTGTGTGTGTGTGTGTGTGTGTGTGTGTGTGTGTGTGTGTGTTCTTTTTAAGAAGTTTATAATTTTATGAACTGGTATATAAATCTAGAATATTTAATAAGAGCATGTATTCATACAAATAAAATGTATATTTTTAAATTGGTATGGGATATCAGAATAAAGATTTCTAGATACTTGTAATTGCATTGATATTTGTTTGTATAATTTGCTTTCACCTTTGGTACTAACCAAATACAAGATGTTTAAAGTATGTAACTTCTTGAACTGTAACAAAAGAAAAACATAAACCTAGAAAGTTAAAACCTAGAAAAAGTTAACAACACATCTTAGTCTTCCATCAATATCTCATAAAAACTAGACACAACTCTGCTGAATTTTTATTTGCTCTTGTATAAGTCAGCTTTGCACTGTTATAATAAACTACCCGAATTATCTTATAAAGAGAAATAATTCACTGTGGCTCACAGTTTTGTTGCGGTCCCATGCTTTGGACTTCTGGTGAAGGGCACTGTGTCATGATGGGAGTTTGTGGCAGAGCAACCTGCTTACTTTTTAAGCTAAGAAATGAAAGAAGAGGCCAGAGTCTCGCCATCCCTTTTAAGAGCATGCCCCCAGCAGCTGCCCTCTGCGCTATGCACTGCCTTCCAGTAAATAACCACCCTTTTACACGTGAACTTCTAGGGAACATGCAAACTCCAAACTATAGCAACTATTCTATAGCCTGGATAAATAAATGTATTTTGCCCTTACTACAATAGCATAGTTAGGTTTTACTGTACACATGTTTAAATAATTGTGCTAAGTTGTTTAGGAGTTAATAGGTCACATAATTTGGAAGTCAGAATAGTTGGAAGTAATTACAAAACCACCCATGAACTTCTTGTACTCTAGCTGGGGGTAGTATATAATAGAAAATATCACTATGAAGTGGCTAAATGAGTTATTTTCTTCACATTATTAAAAATCTGGTTCTGTGGCCTAAATGTGTTCCCCCATAATTCATACATCAAAATCCTAACTCCCAAGATGATGGCTTTAGGAGGCCCAAGTGAGACTCTGCTCCTGCTGCCATGTGACGACATGGACTCGTCTGAGGAAATGGACCCTATTGATACCAAATCTCCAGGCACCTTGTTCTTGGACATCCTCCAGAAATGTCAGAAATAAATTTGTTTATAGAGCATCCGGTTTGGGAATTACAGCCACTAGAATAGACTAAGACATACGGACACAAGTAATTGTTAATGTTTTTCAGGCAAAGCAAGCATGACCAGAGTTTCTGCAGATGTGCTGAACTGTAGTGATAGATAACTGGCTAGCCCTGGAAATCACAGAGACATTTAAGTTGAGAAGAAGGTTAAGGCATGACACCTCTTGCTTTTATCAGGAAAGCACCAGATTTTCCTGAAGCCTTCACTAGTTTTCTACCTCGTGTAGATCACATGACTCCCCCATAACTAAAGGCTGGGAAGAAGCATGAGGATTTTCAGCCTCTTGGAGAGGAGGTTGACCATGGTGATGTGGCCAACCACAGCATCGCCCACTAGATGAGCCTTGAGAAACATGTAGAAGCCTCTTTTAGATGTCCTACAGGAAAGTGGTGCTCCCTAAAATATAAATAAAAATACTTGCTTGAGCTCTAGCTGGCAAATGCTACATGGCTGTCCTTCATTGAAGTAATGAAATAATGGAGCTCTTCCCCCTATAGATTATTGATTAATGGTTGGTGTCACTGGCATACAGCAGGAACAATCTATGTATTATTCTCATGTTTATTGCTCTGGAACAGAGGGTCCTTATGAAAGCCTTTCACAGCTAGGAGATGACAGAAAATTGCCAAAAAATGAACCACAAATGTATTTTAGGAGATATAAAATGGAGGGTGTGTCCATATTTGTGTTACCAGCTGTATAGGTGATTGGAAAAGTGCAGAGTTCTGTGATGAAATATGAAGGAAGCTGAGGGTATAGGTCCTAAAAGAGCATTTTCTTCATAGGTGTTCTTTTTCAGGAGCTTTACCTTCCTACTTAGGTTTGCTTTAGTCAAATTTCTTAAGTAGAGGGCAGCTGATTATTTTTTTTATTATAGGAGGTAATTTAGAAGTTATATAAACCCACACTGAAATAAAATGTCATATCAGCAAAAATTGATTTGCTGATAGAGCTTTTTTCTCCAGCATTTCCCTAAATTCCTTTAAGCAAGCAATCTTTGTATAGAAGGGCATCTTCTCAACAAAGTCAGGATTTTGGACCTCGTGCTGACAAAAAGAGCAGTCTGCATTCCTGAGGATGAACATGCTGTCATATCATTCCCCTCCCCTCCTACGTCACACAAAATGTTAATTCATTGAGTGGTCAAGCTCAAGAAAGTTCTGTATAAATCATTCTGCTTTCCTAAGAACAAGCTTAAATGTCTTATGACTTCTCTTATATGAGAAATCCAAAATACAAATAAAGAGCAAAATAAAAGAGAATAGGAACAGGGAGATAGGTCTTTTGCAGGAGGGAAGGGCTAAAGGGGCAAGAGGAGGAGAAGGGGAGGGATTGTGATCTGTTATGTACATGAACCAACTTCCTATGATGAATGTGATCATGTACTGAAAATAGGTATTTAAAAAAATCAGGTTTTTTTTATCCTTTCCCAACCTCAGGTTC